AAATGGAATGATTGCATGCAGGTGAATGGAGTTTATATAAGCTCCCAAGGGAGAAGTCAGACGTTAGCTCTTATCTCTAATGTTTAATTTACCTTCTACCATGGTCCAGTGAAGGCAGGCCTTCCTTTTCCTGTTCCCAGCAATCTGTTGTTAGTACAAAATGTGATATGGTGTCATTTCTTCCCTCTCATAGCTGTTATTTACAGGAAAAATATACATTCATGATATTAAGCATTACATTTCATTTATACTCTTATAGCATATGAGGAGGGAACCAATAAATAAATAAATAAACATGTACACATGTACACAAATCTACTGTATATACATACAGAGAGAAACACAAACACAAGCATAGCAGCAGCAGTTGTGCCATCTCCACTGTATCTTGTTTTATTTATCCTTAGTTCTGCTTAGTCAGTGCTCTGTTATTTCCTCTAATAATTTAATTGCTGGGTTTAGGTGACTGCAGGAATCATAGTGGAATCAATCAAAGGAGAAAGTGAGATAAGAGAAAGGTAGGCTAAGCTCTACTCACAGAGAAATCATTTATGACCATTTACTAAGACTATAGACACTCTATAAAATAAACCCATAGCAAACAACACCCAATTTTTTGTCCATCAGATGCATATCTTGGGGTGGGAATGAATGGGAAATTTCCAGTGCCTCTTTGTTTGCTGCAGAGATACACTGAACTGAATGGCACTATTATATTATTCCCCTGAAGTTAGGGACTATGAAATTCAATCTCAGGTTTTCCTAATAAACATTCTGAAACTTGTTTTAGATTTAGTGAAGAAAGAAGGAACGTAGTGTACTTTTGACTAGCTTGGAGGCCAGGGGAATACTTTTTCCCCCAATACTGTCAGGAAATATTGAGGAAAGAAAAGAAAAACGGCTCGTTGTTTGTTGAAGCTGAATATGTTTGTTGTGAAATCAGCACTTTGGAGGGGGAGTAAATAAAATGTAAAAAAATAGGTTAATTGAAATTGGCTGGATTGCTTCTTGGAATTGAACACATTTTCTTCCACAGATGTCACTTCATCTGTTAGTGCAGAACTTCATGAGACTTATTATTGATCTCTGTGTCAAATGAATCACTAACATTTACATAGATAAGGCAGCTGTCGTCAGATGCCAAGTAATGGGGTACCATTAAAGGGGGAAACATGTTATTTCCTGTGATGGGCACCAACAAAATGAACACATCCCCACCCACTCCTTTTAATGCCAGTACCATTAGTGAGTGGCAAGCTTCATTTGATATTTTTTTAAGAAAGTATTCAGGAGATTCTTTTTCCATCTTTTCAGTCAAAGGCATTCATGATCAAATAAGTCAGGATCAAACTCTGCTTTTGTATGTGCAAACCAGAGGTAAATACCACCTCTGACTGGCCCCATTCCCATTCTATTCTTTGCATCTTGAGTCCAAACTGATTGGCAGGAAAACCCTTGTTTCCTTCCTGTTGAAACGATAAGAATTGGCTGATGATAGTGAGTCTTTTAGGCCTCTTTCTTAATACTCCCGAGCCTCCTAGGAATATATGAGTGTCATTTTTTAAAATCTATCAATACCGCTGTTATTGACCTGAGGAAATTCCTTTGCCATTTCCAAGTAAGAAAGGGTGCTTTTGAATATGCACTGATGAGTAATGGCCTCAATTATGAGACCTATATTGTTACGCCTTCTCCTTATTGTTTAGCAACCAGTGGATAGATGGAGAGAAAAAGTAAATTAGATCCAAAACTTTGAAGTAGATTTGGACTTTGCATAATCACAAGTCTAAGATTTCAAAAATATTTATTATCATTTTTCATGCTAATGATTAGGGGAAGGACTGGCAGAAACTGAATGGAGTTAAAAGAGGGATCAGCATAGGATCTCTGCATAGCCACAAGAGGACTAAGTCCAACCTTCCTTGAATTCCATTGACCCTTACCTGACTCCTTGCAGGTGTTAACCTTTACTTGAGAAAATTCCTGTGCATAGGCATGAGTAGCAATAAATCAGTATAGTTAGACCTTCATGTGTGGACCTGATCTTTTGCGCATGACAAATGATAGTATTACACATATCTTTGAGAATCCAAAATTAAGTCCATATTGTAACTATTTATTTATGAAATTTTGAAGCCGTCCATCTGCTTTATAGAGGGATTATTTCATATGACAAGCCATTCGTATGGCTTACTGTGTGCATTTCATTTTTTTACTAATCTGTAGTGTGCATGAAATTCCCCCATAATACATTTATATATTCACAAATAGCAATCAACATTGTAATTAAAAGTGAGGGAGCTCAATGAAAATGAGAGAGAGAGCAAGAGAGAGAGAGAGAGAATGATTATGATTCAATAGCTATTAAAACTTTGCTTACATGAATTTACTTTAGTTGATTAAAAGCTTCTAGAATATTAAATGTGTTTATTGGTAGTTCAATTTGATCAACTTTATGATACATTTTCATTTAGAAATCTTTAATTTCAAACAGATGATAAAAACTGAAGGGTCATGTGTTATATCAACATTTCAAGTTTTTTTTCTCTCTGCCTCAATCCTTTCTTTATTAAAAGTTCACATTAAAGAATGGAGCACATACAGTGCTCTCTAGAGTAGTAGATCATTTGTTTATTGATCCGGAATTTCTTTAGAGTGAGTCAAACATTGAAAGTACTGTAATGGAGTCTAAAAATGTGATGTGCAATGAAAGAAGAATGAAAATCTTTATTCCAAGAGGGTGTTAAGGAGAAGGGAGGGAATGAGGAATGCTGGAGAGTGCAGATGAAAAGCAAATTGCAGGACAGTAATCGGAACTAAATACTGGGAATTATATCTGAACAAATTTACATCGGCTTTTATGGTGAATCCTGAAAACCTCAATGTCAACACTGATGCTTCAGGGTTTATATAGGGCAGTTTACAATTACATTGTCAACAGGCTTATCTGAAATGGAAATTTATGTTTTCCAAAACAAAAAACAAAAAGAGTTGGGAGGAGAATTAAAAATATGCTTAATTTCAGATTATTGTAATTGGAGGAAGAATAGAATCTCTTGTTGGCTATTGTTACAATTGTTTCTTTTTTAAAGGGGGCGTGGGTGTGGGTGTGTCCCAAAGATATTTTTTCAAGAGGCAACTGGCTACTTCAGCTCTGGAAGATGGGGATTAGAAGGATTTAAACTCCTTGCAGACAGCTGGCCATTTGCATTCTTTTAGAGAGTTGTTGAGGCTACCTAGAGATGTATCTTGTTGTCAGGGTCATTGTTAGGAATATAATCTAATGGTTGGGTTGGCAATATATAAATCATGTAACAATGTTGTACCTGTTTCTTTAAATCATGCTGTAAAATGTGATTGGTTGCTGTTTCCTCAATCGGCCATAAGATGGAGCCAGAATCACTGTTAGATGCTGATCTGATCTGAGTGTTTGAAAGCTGGCTGTTAGAAGTGCTGTATAGTGATCAGCGTGAGCTATTGTAAGTTTTGAAACTGCTAGCAAAGTTTGTGTACCGGACTGTTTGTATGATTATGGACTATGTTAGTTGAATTATCCCTTAACTGAAAGACATTGATGACTGACTGTCCTAACCGTATATGACTTGGACTGTTTGATGGACTCTGATTCCTCTATTTCCATGAAAGTAAAAGCCTATTTAAACTGCAGTGTGTCTGTATGCTGGTTTGTGTGTTCTCCAACAACACTCTCAAAACGCTTCTCTGAACGCACTCACTCTCCCAATGGGGAGCTTACCTAACAGTCACCTGAGTAATGCAAATGGATGTGGAGCCTTCTTGGAACAGTTGAAATGACTATGTTGTAGACTGGAGATAGATGATGTTGTATCCCTCCCCCTCTGCTGAGAAAGAGGGCTGTTCAGTTTTGACATAGATAGCCTCTTTGACCCTTCTTTCAAAGCAGCTGTTCTCTCTGTCCAAAATGTGGACTTTGCTGCCTTCAAAAGGGTAGCTTTTTTTTCTTTTAAATGCAGATGGACTGCAGAATCTTGTCCTGATGAGTTTGTTCTCCTGTGTTGTGTCATGCACTTATGAAGTGGTTGTTTGTTTCCCCAACATACAGAGCTTATCTTTAAGATGCCTTGGTGTATTCTTGGGCTTGAAGTGGCATGTATGTTGTGTTGGCTGAAGATCCTCCTGAGCTTTTCTGATTTTCCTGCAACATATGGAATGACAACATTGCTTTGTTTATTGTTCTCTTCTTTGTCTGTTATAGAGGAGCTCCTGCTGGGTCTTTTGGAGGATTTGATGAAGGCTTACTTGGGATAGCCACACATTCTGAGGGCTTCCTTGATGTGTTTTAATTCTCTTTCTGTGTCATCTTTGCTCCTAGGCAGGCTTCAGTTGTATAGGTATATTTTGATGACTCCCATTTTGTGCTCCAGTGGGTGGTGAGAATCAAAATGTAAAAACTTGATCTATGTGTATGAGTTTTCTGTAAACTACAATATTTTCTGTCTTCCTTAATGTGCTTCTGTTTTCCTTAATGTGTACAGCGTAGTCCAGGAAGGCTAGACTATTTTCCTTAACATTTTCCCTTGTGAATGTGATGCATCTGTCCACAGAGTTGATACCTTTGGTGAATGCTTTGAATTCCTGTGTTTTGATCTTGACCCAAGTATTGTGGGTGGGTGTGGTTGTGTTGTGTAAATTTCTAACCTATAAATCAGTTGTCCCTTTCCCTCCCATTTCTTAAAGGGAAAATAGTTACCTGGCAGCTGACGAACTAAATGGAAGAGCATGCAGTTAGCTTACTTGGTGCCTTCCTATCCACTTTTCAACTAACTTATTGTATTATATAGTAAAGCAGAGACAGCATAGAGCCTTCAGTACTTTAACATTCACCCAAAAATAGACTGTACACAGTTTTGTTATCTGCTTGCCTATATGTGAGAAGACAAAATAACTTGAATTTGAAATGGATTTTTAATGTGGGTTTTTCATTTTCATATATAATGTATAATGTTTGTTTTTCACTACAGCAAAGAGCTCCAGGAAAGATTTTATTGGATGCCGTCTGCAACCATCTCAATCTTGTTGAAGGTGATTATTTTGGCCTTGAGTTTCTGGATCATAAGAAGGTCATGGTATGTAAAGATATTTTGCCTAAATCACCTCTCCCATGATGTCATTTTATAATCTTTTCATGCTCTTAAACGTTTGCCACTTCATAGCTGCCTTAAAATGTGTTGTATTTTTCTCACTTGAAAGCAAAGTAGATAAGCAAGAGCATATGAATAAATATTCTTGTTTCCCAGATCACAATCAATCAATCAATCAATCAATCAATCAATCACAAATGTGCAATATGCTTGTCCATAAATAATATACACTGCAGTAGAGCAAAACATACTGTTCTAGATGAACTTATACTTCTGTTTTACTAAAATGTGTGCACATATCTATTGGAGAGGTTTTTTATTATTTCAAGAATAAAACTCTAGCCTTGATGGAAGATAATTAATTGTGGACTGAGTAATAGCTGTCCGATTCATTATGTTTAACATTATGAAAATAACATCTGTTCATCCTTTTCTTCCTCTCTTCTGCTGGAAACAAATCTGTTGTACCTTGGCAACTGTTGTGTATTTTAAGATTTTCTAAGAGAGTATCACTTTCTACCACAGAGGAGTGTAGTCTGTGGTGTTTTCTTTCTGAGTTTATCATTTCTGCACCAGAAATAACTTTGTAAAACCTTCTACTCCTGTGCTGGGTACCCATGCAATTATAACTGGGTTGTATTTTAGTCATTCTTTTCAGAAATTTGGCAGTGCACACATTTTTCTGGGTGCCAAGTGTGAAGTTCAAAACAAAATATTATTATAATGCCAAGAATTACCAAGATCTGTTTTTTTAAAAAAAAAAATCTAAAAACTGTTTTTCCTCAAATGAACATAAATGACTAAGGCATAGACATTTTTATTGGGTAACAAAAACAATTTTAAATTAATAGTTTTTTCCCCTCAAAATAATCAAAATGCATTAATGGGCCAGAACTTGGACACATTTTTTTTGTGGGTTCTGAGCTATTTTTCTGAAAGGAGGATATGCTTTTAACTTGGTATAACAAAGAGCTATTCAAGTTTTGTCCTGAACAAAAGTATGATTCTTTCGAGCCCTCTTGTTCAGGACAAAGTGAGTTTTCTTTTTGTGAGAGAAAAGTTTGCCTTCTTACTATCTAGTGGTTAAACATATTTAACTCCGTGGGAATCTCTCTCTCTCTCCCTCTCTCTCTCTTTCTGTGTGTGTGTGTGTGTTGCATCCAGAAATACATTAGTATGAATGCAATGCACAATGGTGCTTAAAGGTTTATGAAGTCTTTGAATTTTCAATATTTCTCCATAAATATCACATAAAAATGATCTGTTCTTCACACAACTATTAATAATCTAATGAGTCAAAAACATTATATTTGTTCACTTATTTATTGTTTTAAAAGAGAGAGGGTGTGTGTGTGTGTGTGTGTGTGTGTGTGTGTGTGTGAGAAAAGTATGTCAACTCTTGGAATATCAACTTATTTGGAGGAGAAATTAGGTATTTTAATCAAAGAGTTGATAATCAGGTGTGAGTATGTGAGTACTTGCCTATATTTAAATAAGAGAATTCTGGGTTTTTACTATCTAGGATGTAAAAAAACAACAATCATTACTACATATTGCATTAATACTCCGAGATGTCTTCAAGAGCCAGGTAATGTCTAAAAAGTAATAGCGCACTTGCATTGGAGAATGTTGATATTCATGAGACCGCCAGCAGGGCAACACTGAATAACAATGGTGAGCATGGCAAGACTGCAAAGAGAAAGCTACTACTCTACATAAAGAACATTGCTGCCTATCTACAGTTTATGAAACAATAAACCCACATGGATTAACAAGAAGACTATTGGAAGAATGTTCTGTGGATGAATGAGACAAAAATAGAAAATTTTGGCTTAAATAAAAAGTATCATATTTGCTGAAAGACAAATACTGCATTCCAGCAGGAGAACCTTAGCCCTTTGTGAAACATGTTGGTGGCAGTATCATGGTTTCTCTGTGGCCTCTAAACCAAGATTAAACTTTGAATTCTGAATTGTTCCAATCAATTCTACAGGATGTTTGTAATCTGGAGCTCAAGAAAAAGTGGGCCATTCAGCAAGACAGTGACCCAAAACACACAAGTTGTATAAAGCAGAAGAAAGTTAATGTTTTGGAATGCCAAGTCAAAATCCTGATCTTAATAATCCTAGAAAAATATTGTTGAAGGACCTGAAGCAGGTAGTTCATGCAAGGAAACCTACCAATATTCCAGAGTTGAAGCTGGACTAAAATTCCTCCAAATCAATAATGGACTGATCAAGTATTATCAGAAACATTTAGTTGCAGTTATTGCTGTCTGAGTGGGGCACAGTTATTGAAACCAAAGGTTCACATTATTCTACCACACACCAATATGCAGCTTTGGATCATTTTCCTCAATAAATTTAAACAAGCAAGCATAATGATTTTGATTCATTTGTTTAATTGGATTCTCTTTATTTAATTTTAGTACTTCTGTGGAGAACAGATCATGCTATAATTATTTTAGTGGGGTTTTTGGCAAGATATCACTATTGTGAATATGTTTTTTCCTCTGAAAATTCAGTTTAATACAGTTATATATCCTACTATGTGTATGATTGCTCCTGGAGTTTGTAATCCACATTTGTATCTCCTGTGCTGGCTGCATTCTGTTCAATGAAATTAGCTGTCTTTGCCTTCATCTTAAAATAGGGCTATGAAATCTGACCTGAAAAAAACTAGGATGATTGCCAGATGCAGTATTCATTGATGATCCAAATGTATACAGTTCAGATCTGGTAAAATGATGCAATCTAGGAATGATTGGATTATAAACTATGAAGCTCTTGTTTCTTGTTTTAGCTGCACCAGTGATTATATCTTTTTCTTTTTCCCTAGGTTTGGCTGGATCTTTTGAAACCTATCATAAAACAAATCAAAAGTATGTGTTGACAGTTTTCTTTTGGTGCAAATATAGACCCAGTTTCAGATGATAGCCTTTCCTGATTTTATTGCAACTAAATGTATAGACAAAATCTAATTGAATTTTACAAACATCCGCCTTATGTGAACATTGCTCTGACTATAAATGTTTGAGAATGTTGGACCTATAACAAATGTACCAAATAAAGAAGTAAATGCAACTACTATATACTCTCAGCAGATGGTTAGGACAGAGAGTTTCAATGAAGACCAGAATTTATTTGATTTAGGACAGAAAAAAATGTTATTTTTGAATACTATGTATTTATTAGACCTTGCCTTCTTTCTTTCTGCCTGCTATTACAGCATACAAACTTAGGTGTGAAGTTTACTCCTAGTAATATCTTCACTAAACCAATCCTGACTAACAGAGTAGTGAAATAAATTTATTAATTGTACATTTTCCTTTTAAGCACTTAAATATTTAGTTCAGGAACTAAGTAAGAAACTGCATTTTTTGAGCAGATAATTTTTTTTTCTCTATCTAGATTATAGGAGAAGAAAAGGTCTCAAAAATCAGAGATTAGAATTTGCCAAGATAATTTCAAAACTTTTTTTTTCAAGAAAGATTCTAGGATTATTAAGAGTGGCTAAATTTCTTTTGCTCTGAGATGTAGTTTGGTTTAGCCAATATTATACTTGATGTTGCATTCCTTAACTTTTTATTAATAGTACATTGTTTACACTGTTCAGTCACTTCTTAAGTCATGCTATGAATGAAATATTCACATACAATATATGTAAACAATAAATTGTTGGCTTTTGTCATTGTTGCCCCTCATTTTGTCTCTTAGGACCTAAGCATATCATTCTAAAATTTGTGGTAAAATTCTTCCCACCTGATCATGCTCAGCTGCAAGAAGAATTAACAAGGTTGGTGTAAGCATCCGTTTTAAATTCCTCTTCATCAAGACAACAAGAATTGGGAATATTCATACCAAATTTTAAAATAAACCATATTAAGGTGAGGTCAGGAGTTTACTTGAAAGGATTCCAGGCTTGTCTGATCTAAAATTTGGTTTAACTTGTTCTATTGTTCTATTCAGATTTATTTTTTAAGTGGGAATGGAGCTGATTTTTATTTCTGTACCTCAATATCTTCATACTTTAAAATGAATTGTCAGCACTTGCTTATATTATAATTTCATCTCTTAATCCATAATTGTTTATTTTATATTGCTGTTACCCAGCATGCTAGATTAGTCATTAGCATCTGAAATTGCTCTTACCTATATGCATTTACTGAAGATTTTATCCCCACTGATTTTTTCCCTTTTCTTCCCCGACACCTAATTTCCCACGTCTGTAGCTGTGCCCCTTCTCTCACTCGCTGCATAGAGAATCCAGCAGAGCTTGAGAGACAGCAGGCAGATTCCCTATTCCACTCAAAGCAACTGAGTGATGATTTTACTAAGATATTCCTTGCTGAATCTTTGGATCTTGTGACATCTTTTAAAGAAATTACTAAGTCAAATGGTGTTCTCTAATAACAATGAAAAAGGCAAGGTTTTTTTTTCATGATAAAGAAGGGCAACTTTTACTTCATCATTGACTGAAGAATTTGATGGTATCTTTCCCTCTTCTAATAGGGCTGAATCAATGGTCACAATAGTGAAAGTAATAATCTCTGGTGCTCATAATTTGTAAAAACATTTTGTGATGCTTGTTGTGCAAAAATGTTTTATTCGTGTAAGCATAAATTAGTGTCATTTGAACAATATACACATTCAGAATGATAAATAATAACATAAAAATAACTATTTAGAAAAGGAAACATTGAAAGAGTTTACACAAAAAAATAGAGAGAGGCTTTGCTGGGCACCACAAATATTCTAATAGTGTCAGTGATGAGACTTCCATAAAGAAGGTATTCCAATGTGCTTGAAGCAAAAATGTATGTAAATATCAGGTTCTTAGAGAAAGACCCTACCTGATAAACTTACTGTATGGATGAATTGTTCATCCCAAGTAAACTTGTTAGTAAGGGATCTGTAAACATTTTGATTTTACGAACACTCCATAAAAATGTCAGTAATATTTTCGTTTTTATGTTCCCTTTCAGGTACTTATTTGCATTGCAAGTTAAACAGGATTTAGCACAAGGAAGACTAACCTGTAATGACACTAGTGCTGCTCTCTTAATATCACACATTGTACAGTGTAAGTAATTTTTCCCCATTTTTTAACTTCTGCATTTTGAACAGTATAATGTTAGGTAATATTTTTCTATAAATAGCTGAAAATAAAGCTGTTCTCAGAAATTTACTTTTTCTTTCTTGTATTCTTGTATCTCAAATATTATGCAATATTTACCTAAAATATTTGTTCAGTGGTAGATCCACAATGTCTATGTTTAGAGGGGAAAAGATTAGCAATTTCTAATAAACTGTTTCCTTGTTTACAATCACTGTTACATTAGTTGACATTCTAAAGTCACCGACTTTATCCACGTAACACCAAGGGCTGAAGATGTAAAAGTGAGAATACATCCAATCTTTAAAAATAGAATGTGAAATAACAATGGGGGGATTGTATAACTCCCTTAGCCAAATCCCAGCTTTTTCTTCTGGGAGCTCACTTATATTTTGAAAAAATATATATATTGTTGTTTCATACCTCTCTCTGAAGTAGCCAGAAAGATTAGCTGCTTTGCATTTAGATGTCTAAGTGTAAGCCCAAACAGGAGCTTCTGGAAATAATCAAATAAAAAAAAAAACATTTCTATGTTCTGGCCAAAATCTCTGTTGTACTAGAAAATAGAATTTTAGATTAATTTCAGTGTTCTGAATGTAGATCAGATGGCTGCTACAAACAGAGTAAGCACAGCTGCTGTATATGTATGTAATGTTATTGAAGCCCATATCAATAGATGACATCAAATGGAATGCTGAAGAAAAATCTGTGATTCCATTTTTCAAGTCTTCTATCTCCATATTTCAATTACCCCAGTCCATGAACAGCTTTGAATTGATACATGGAGAGCCATACTCCATTTCTCAGAATAGCAAATTTGGAAGTTTGGAGATCAATTCTATTAGAATTAATGAAACAAAGTGGAAAATAAGCTACACGAGGAGCTGGAGAAAGAACAAGTGATTCTTCAGTTTCACTTTTTCAGTGAAAATATGAATGGCAAAGAACAATGTTGGTCTAATCATCTAAGAGACCTTAAATTTCAAGACATTCTAGAAAGTAATCCTGCTTTTTAGAATGACATTAGTAACTGAATTGGCTTTCAAAAATGGTTCTTGTTGGCAAGAAGATTTTATCTATTATACCTGTCTGATATAATATTTACTTGTTAAGTGTGCAAATTAAAATGATATTTCTCAAGGACTATTGTTTAAAAATCCTATATACTTTTGATAATTTTTTCAATGAATGAATATGATTTAAATATCTGACAGCACATGATTTCCATAAACTCATGATCAAATGATATTCTATTTTATATAGAAAATCTTGTCTATTTAAATTTCTCTATTGTGTATAAGCATACCAATCCCTAATGATGAGTTTCCCAAAAGATTTATCTTTATAATACTTGTTAGTCCACATTGGATCAAGCTTTGTATGGTGTCTTAAGTATCTTAAGATATAACAGGTTAACCATAGATACCTAGTATTTGCATTAGGAGTTTTAAATGGAAGTCTTCAAGATGTGCCTTAATGATATCTGACGATATCTATTGAAACTCTAAATTAGAAGGACTTGGGGTGTTATAGTGTATATGGTGTGTGCGTGCGTGCACATCCGTGCATGTATATGTGCATTTGAAACAAGTACTAAGGGGTGTAGATTTTTTTCTATTACCTAAGTTCATGACAGCTGCAGTTGCCCACTATTTTATATTTGTGTTTTCACACCTTCACATGAAAAATACATTGTGATACATACATCTTGAGAATGCAAATTGAAAACTCTGGAGGGATTTCCTATTGAATTAACTACAATATATTGCTAATGTTTGTAGAATCAGGATGATTCTAGAAGTCTCCTCTCCAAATCTAGATTTTTATCCATTGAGTATTTTTTTTCCTTTAGCTGAAATCGGGGATTTTGATGAAACCATTGATCATGAACACTTAGCAAAAAACAAATATATACCTCAACAAGAAGCTTTAGAAGAAAAAATAATGGAATTTCATCATAATCATATGTAAGTACATTGTACTTACTATTACTATTAAGCATTACTATTAAGTGATGTTGGAATGTCACTAACAGGCTTGATACAATAGGATATATATATATATAAGTATAATTTTTATTTTAATTAAAAAGTATGTCTGAAAAATATAAAAGGGTGGTGGAGAGAACTGGATATGGTAATAAATCGAGTAGGGAGATTAATACAAAATATTTGCATTATTGATGAAAGCCATTTTTTTAAAGTAAGCAATTAGTATCTTCCAAATTTGGAAGAAATATTAGGTTAATTTGCAGAGGAGTGGGAAGACAAGGTGATTATACTTCTAGTTTATTACTCTTGTATATGAAACTCTCAGCTCTGTTAAATGGTGTATTCTAGTGCAGGGATGTCAAACTTGCAGCCCACGGGCTAGATGTATCATGCACTGGTCATGCCCATGCCCGGTTTAGTTTAAGTTGGAGGGGAGTTGCAATACAACACGTGATGATGCCATGACAATTCAAGTTTGACATCCCTGTTCTAGTGTTCTAGCGCTAGGCAATATGACTTATAAAGTCAACTTCTATCTTATAATGAATAACAGAGCATGTTGAGGAGGAAACAGTATTTCCTTGGAAAGGCAGGTTCTTCAAAACTACTTTCATTTTATCTTGTGAAACGCATTGTAACTCCTTCAGTGGTCAGACACCAGCAGAATCCGATTTCCAGCTGCTTGAAATTGCCCGTCGTTTGGAAATGTATGGAATCCGGTTGCATCCAGCTAAGGACAGAGAAGGAACCAAGATCAACCTAGGAGTGGCTCATACAGGCATTCTGGTGTTTCAGGTGTGTAAGTGGTTCTAATTCTAGTTAATCCAGATTGCAAACAGAAAAGATTGGGATTGTTGTGACTATTCCTCCAGATCATAAATCACTGGTCAAATTTGTGGTAGAAGTAATATGAGCCATGTATTTGTTAATTGGATATGGTTAACAAAATCCAGTATCCATCTACAGTACAAGGGGATTTTTGTTTGTTTTTCATTTGATGTGGGACAATAATGCACACTGACTAGCAAATACCTTATTTTCCTTCATTATGTATCATAATTAGGGTTACACGAAGATAAATGCATTCAACTGGTCTAAAGTTCGGAAGCTCAGCTTTAAGAGGAAGCGTTTTCTTATTAAACTACGGCCAGATGTAAATGTAAGTCTCTGGAAGGGCAGACCCCCTTGGCATTTTCATATTTTAGGATACTTTTCATTACTTCCTTAAATCAAGTCCTCATTTATTCCTGGTGTGTTTCTGTGCCCCACGTTTCTCTCCAGACCACAAAGGTACAAGGCAAGAGTAACTTAAAAAGACACTGTTGTCCAGATCAACTTTGTCTTGGAATTCCTACTTCACCCTGGCAACACTTACTATGCCCATGTCCAGTTTATTCTATCTTTAAGTAAACCAGACAGCCAAAGCAAAAATGCTTACTTCAAAGCAAAACCAAATTTTTTTTTTGTTATGTACAGTCTCTTTTTATTCCTTTTCTTTTTCCAATACTAAACCTAGTTTTATTATTTTTTAGAGTAACTTCCAAGACACACTGGAATTTCTAATGGCTAATCGGGATTTGTGCAAGGCTTTTTGGAAAATTTGCGTAGAACACCATGCCTTCTTCAGGCTGTTTGAGGAACCCAAACCCAAACCTAAACCTGTTCTTTTTACCAGAGGCTCATCTTTTAGGTTCAGGTAGGCTTTTGTTTTTCATTATCATAATCATGAAAAAGTTTGTTCATTCCTTTTGAGAGAGAATGGATTGGATCAAATATAATGCTTTTTCCCAACAACCTGCTATGCTAAATTTTAATGTCCAACCAACTTTTTCCCAATTTGACTTAAATCTACTAGGAGTTCTACAGGTTGCCAGATTCACAAAGAATTTCAGAGTTTTTCCAGAGTCAAAATGAAAACACATCCAGGTAATGGGAGTTGGGACTGGAATTTCCATCACTAAGTGACACTGATATAAACACAAAGTCACCTGACTGCAGTGATGGGTTCCGGATCCCGTTCCAACCAGTACAGTTGGAACAGGCCCAGCATAACCCACATGGACGCACCCTGTGCATGCGCTCATGGCACGCACATGCGTCGTACTGGCCAGTGACGCCTCTGCAAGCTTCCGTGATGCTCCAGCTGCTCGGCGGCGCATCACGCAGGCGCTGTATGCACCATACACATGTGCAGAAGCACCAAAGGCTTAAAAGGACAGGTAAGGAGCTCAAGTGGGTTGGTGAGCCCTCCAGAGCACCATACAGGAATGGTACCCAGTGTTCCGGGCCGGCTCCAGTATGCCTGTACCAGGACATACCATCTGTAACCCACCATTGCCTGACTGCCACACTTAGTAATGACAATTCCAGAGCTTCCAGTTGCCATCATTAAAGAAATCTGATACTGCGATTAAATGAGGATGTCATGTCACCATTTGCCTCTCCATGAACTGTTGTAGGGAGTCAGCAAAGAACATCACAACTGGCAGCCACATGACCACAGAAACTTCTGATGGCCAGAACTTCAAGGACCATTGTAAGGATCACTAGTTTAGTGCTATTGTAAATTTGAATGGTTGCTGAACAAGTGCTTCTTAAATACGTGTACTGTATATACTCAAGGATAAACTGAGAATTTTATGTGTCAAAATGAACTCCAAATTGGATTCAGTTTATCCATGAGTATATATGGTAATACCTTTCATAATTAGCTATATATTCCACAAATGTACATGTGCATGTAAGCCCATCCATGACTAAGCAGACCCTCAAAGTACCATGGAAAAAATGTGGTCAGCATATCCATAGGTGATTACATTTTTCATGGCATTTTGGTTAAAAAATTGGGGGTCAGTTTATCCACAAATGGATTTATGTCAGAGTCTGTTGCATAAATTCAAATCCAGAAAGCACACACAGATAACTGATTCAGCTGGATTTATTAACTTCTTTATATACATAAGAATAAATGAATAAATGTACAATACCAACAGGTGGTTCTTCCAAGTAAACACAAGGCAGGAGAGTTACAGGCAAACACAAGCAGTTCCATTTCAGCAGATAAACCCAGACAGACTGCTAGTTTACTTCTCAGAGCAGCAGACTGCTTAAGTTTCTCAGCACTGAGCTTAATTCAACTAAGCCACCCCCAGACTTCTTACTTAAGTTTCTGTTTCAATTCTTTTCACAGACTCAGATCTGTTTAAGCTCCCATTGACTGACTTAGTTGCTATGCCTATTCATTGGCTGACCTTGTTCCCATGTCTCTCTCAGTCATGAATATTTTAACAAATTATACATCAGCATATGTGATACATCATGATGTTATCACAAAACTATTGTAATTATATGCCTACATAATGAAGTCTGATGTAAAAATGTAAGTTTTAACATTTGTAGTAATGTTATGGTGCACATTTCATCTTTGTCCCACCTTTGCCACCACCTGGATACAAGTAGATATGCAGGGGATCATGTCTGCCTTATTAAATCTATGGTGATGACAGACTTTTTAAGGGCAATTTGCAGAATCATAAATGTAAAAATAATATCACTGTATAACTGTTGGAATTTACAACATATAGTATTGTTACCAATCTCAATATTTTTTTGCAATATTTGTTTTTTGTTTTTTCTGTCTCCTTAGAAAGTTTATGAGCTCCCTGAGAATGTAGCCAAAGGATTGCATTTAATATTAAGGCAGTCAATTGTTGCCAGTGCATAATAATACCTTGTTTCCCCAAAAATAAGACCCACAAAGCTCTATTTTGTTTTGTTTTTTGAGGTGGGGCCCAATATAAGCCCTATCCCAAAAATAAGCCCAAGAGGATGGGTGTGACCAGCACAAGAGGTGGTGAGCGTGTGGGGGCCAATGGTGTCTGGCCCGCCTGCCCCTTGGCGTAGCACAAATACCAATAAGTCTGAGCATGAAAGCAGAGGCGTAGGGGAGAAGACAGGCAATCCAGACGTGCTGCACAGCTGCCTGACTCAGGGGAGGTTTGCACAGCAGCACCAGCAGAAGGTGGAGGCAAGTGATTCCGATGCCCTGCGTGGGTTGGCCACAGGCAAGCCAAGAGATAGTAGGATGGAGTGTGTGGCATGTTGGGCTCGTCTCTACCTCCACCTGGCTCTGCTGTGCACTTTTCGCCCAGAGGGTGATGAAGCTTTGTCTGCTTGCAATGAGGATGATTTTAAACAAAGCTAATTGCTCAGTTTCAAACCATCCACTTTGCAAACACACTAAGCTTTGAGTCTCCATCATTTCTCTGTCCGGGCAAAAAGCATTTGGCAAATCTCTCCATTCCCAAGCGCCCCATAGGTGATCAAACACTATTCACTCTGACAAAGAAATGATGGAGACTCAAAAGCTTTGTGTGTTTGCAAAGGGGATGGTTTGAAACCGAGCAATTAGCTCCGTTCCAAAGCATCCCCTTTGCAAGCAGACAAAGCTTCGTCTCCTTCTGGGTGAAAAGTGTTTGGGCAGCTACCATCAGCTCTGCTCTCTCCGTCCCACTGTCTGCTTTTCTGCAGCCTCAATCGGGGCCAAGCTGTCAGCATGCCCTGGCCTCCGCCCACCCTGCCTGGAGGGCAAAGAGCCAGAAGCAGCATGGGCAGTCGCTTGGTGGCCAGCACGGCACCCGCTGTGGCTGAGAAGTGTCCCGGTAGAGCAGGGGCCAGCACGCACGGTGGTTGGAAGCCAGGGCATTCCAAGAACTTGGCCATTGCAGCCACGGACAAGCAGACGGTGGTATGGACAGGGCAGAGCCAGTAGTAGCTGTGCTCCCACTCCTGTCGGCCCCCATACTCACCACCTCCTGTGCTTAAAAAAATAAGACCTCCCTGAAAATAAACCAAAATGCTTATTTTCAAGCCCAAAAGAAAATAAAACCAGGTCGGGAAAACACTGTAGTATAATTAATATTTGAGCCTCTTAAAGATCATAAAACCAGTAGACTTTCTAATATTATTTTTAGAGTAGTTGACTCAACAGCACAGTGGCTCTTTTCAGAGCCATAATTGGGATGACCACAATGAACACTGCACTTTTCGTCCATTTTTTCCCCCTGACATCAACTGCTGCCCATAAGGAAACAAAATGCAATAGCGACACATAGGAATGAAAATCACAAAACTAATGTATTAGTTATTAATTTTCTGTTTTTTATAATTGTTTCTTTCTTTTTTTCTCTTTCCCTCCTTCCTTCTCTTTAGTGGCCGTACTCAGAAGCAAGTCCTTGAATATGTTAAAGAAGGAGGACATAAAAAAGTGCAATTTGAGAGGTTTGAGATAATTTTTGATGATGATCTTTTACTTTTAAGATCTTTCTCGTGTGTCAGGGATCCTGATTTTTCTTAGTTACTGTATTTTTTGGAGTGTAAGATGCACCAAGGTTTTGAAGAGGCAAATAAAAAAAGTTTTTGCACTCTACAAATCTCACAAAAACCCACCTGTTTTTTGCGAAAATGGGCCCGTTTCCCCCCCCCCAAAAGGGCATGAAAAGGCCTTAGGAGGGTTGCAGAGGGCTCCTGGAGGTGCCCCCCCCCCAAATGAGCAAAAACGGGCCCATTTTTTGTCAAAAAATGGGCATGCATAGCCTTTAGGAGGAATTTAGGAGTGTTTCTGGGGGCTGGGGGGACAAAATTGAGCAAAAAATGGCCCCAAAAATGGCTCCTACAAACTATGCACGGCCATTTTGGTGAAGGGGCGGGGTTTTGGGAGGCAAAAAATGCTGTATAAGACGTACCCAGATTTTCAGCCTCTTTTCTGAGGGACAAAGGTGCGTCTTATACTCCAAAAAATATGGTAGCCAGTTGGGATTGAAGTTGATTGTATATTTGCTAAAACAAAAGCAATCAGAATGCAGGAAAAAGCATTGCATATTTTTCCCCATCCTGAAGTCCTTAGATTCTCGCTCCTCTAGCAGAAATAGTGGTATTTTGACTTTGAGAACATTTGTTCAGTGACTAATTGCATTGCTCTTTATCCCCTTTGTTTGAATAAATACTTCCAACTTGCCAGCTCCTGCGTGTTAGCTTTCTATTACAATCACCCCTTCTGAAACTTTTAGCCAGCATAGTGCTTCTGCTGGAGACTTGGCTGGCAGAGAATTATAGTAAGAGCAGAAGAGATTTTTCTGCCCAAAGAAGGTAGTTCTGATCACAGATGCGGTTGTTCAAAAACATCTCTTTGGGTTATAGCGTTAATAATGTTTAAAGTTTTTCTGCTTTTAAAAAAAGTCAGTTTGATTACTGGTGATGAAATGTTAGACAGTAATAGAGTGGTTTTTGGCAGGTCATTACCAAATCTGCTTCCAAAGCCCTCTAACATGGTGAGTTAAAACTTGATTTTAGCAACAGGTTTTACGTTCTGAGTCAGCTTTTGGAATCAGAAGTTCTCCTTGTCTTACGTTTTTGTAATATGTTCAGTGAAGTATGTATCTGTCACCATAATGATACACCCCACATAGACACCCCAATATGTCTATTTGGGGCTTTTGTTTTCCACAATTACTACAAGAGTTAAGGAAATTGAGGGATTGAATGGAAATATTTTTAATTTTTAATTAATTTTGTTGATTAATTTTATAGTCTACCTTTCTTCCAAAAGCTCAAGGCAACACCCAAAACTGTCTCTACTTCAGTGGTTCTTTTTCTCTCCACAGAAAACACAGCAAGATCCATTCTGTTAGGAGCCTGACTCCAAAATCTACAGAGCAACTTTCTGTGGTGCCAAAACAAGTCAGTTATCTTTCATGCTTTTGCTAACTAAAAATCCAAAAGCGGTTTTGTTCTTTTTTGTTTACTGTTGTTTAGGGAAGGTAAACAAATTGCTTGAAGGAACAATATACTTCCCTCTGGTTTGGAAAGCTGCTGAATAAATGGAAAATGCAAGCAGACAGAAAGTATTTAACTTCAACAGGCTTTACCAATAAAAATACTGAAACTGTGCATCTAGCAAATTCACACAAATCTTTTGGGAGGTCTAACAGGGTGTGAGGCATTGTTTGTAAGGACAAAGAACAAGGGGAGAGGTAGACACATCCCCAAAGGAAGTTGACCAAAATCACTCTTGGAGAAATGTTTAAACAAAGGAGATCTAAATAAATACAGTTGAAACACTGTGTACAAAATAATGTAAATGCTTGGAAGTGGATGTTGGGGGAAGAATAAATCAAAGAGATAATACAAGTTTCAAGAATAAGCAGCGATGACAAATTAAACGAAGGAGAAAGTATGTCAATCTGTTCACTTACAAGAGGATGTGCCATTGCCCAAAGGCTATGCAACAATGATGCAATAGTGTAAGTGAAATACATACTTCTCTTTTACTCCTCTGCCTTCAGTCATTGCGACCGAGGCAAATAATAGGAGTGTGAGCTCAAGAGTCACTCACATTTTAAAACAGAACAAATGATCCCTGAATCTTGTCCTTTTTCTCTCAAGTCCTTCCTTCTCCTACTCCCAGCTCCACTTCATTCTTTTCTATGCCATGCTATTTTATGGAAGCAGATTTTTATTACAGTATTTGTTTTTTTGTTATGGTATTACCTTTGGTAGCTTCATGGAAGAGTTTAATTTGAACTAGGAGGGATTGAGTCATTTGCTGTACCTGAAGTTTATGTCAATGTTTTCAGGTCTCATCTGTTTTCTATTTGCTCCTTGCTGATCTAAATGTTACTCCTAAAGCCCATTACCTGGGCAGGCATGAATTACATTTATCCATTCATGTTGCATTGAGACCTGTTGCTTCTACTCTGGATTCATATAAAACCATCACTGCTAATTGCTTTTTATATTCTTATCTGCTATAATTTCTTGCTGATTTTTTAAAGAGCAAAGTTGGCAATAGCTTCCTATTGCAGTAGTAAATTACATGATTGAGGTGTATGTAATCTGCATATTCTGATATGTCATGAGAGTTAAAACTATTTTCTTCCAGTATTTTAGGGAAAGAACTAAGCTATTACAGAAAGAAAACTAGGGAATGAACATCCTAGAGGTAATATCAAAGGTGGTTTTAATGGAGAGCAGCTGAAAAATAAAGAGTTTCTTATACTGAATAGAGTCCTATTTATGTTGAATTTGTAAAACAGTTGCTATAAGATTAATGATAATTTATTGCCTTCTGCATCACATTTCTTCCTTTCTCTTTCCAGAGTTGTAGTTTTACATATGGAGATGGTGCTGATTCCCTGGTTGAGCAAAGTTGCCAACAGGGAAAGGAATTAAATATATCAGTGGAAGATGGTGGACCACACTCAACTCCTTCCCTGAAAAAAAGCCCTAAGGAAGGCCAGGGGATAGATGGTACTACAATGGCAACAATGGAGGAGGAAGAGGAGGTCGTAAAGGACAGGTCACAACTCAGCAGATCTCAGAGGCAGCAGCCAAGCACAGGTCCTGCATCTCGAGCTACTCATGGCAGTAGCACATCAATACCTTTTATTGACTGCAGTGATGTAGATAGCGAGTATGATCTCCTCAGAGGGCAAATGAGTCAGTCACATTCCCAAACAAATGACAATTATGAGGGTGATTTGACCAGTGGAGTCTATGTTAATTGTAGAGGTGAAAACCATAATAAAAATAGGTATAAGGAATCTTCTACTTCCCCTATAAAGGCATTCTACAAGGTCATGGAAGACTGCGCTGATAACAGCTCTGGTAATATGTCCTTCTCTCTTGGTGAGAATCTCAGATTCCCACAGCATAGTACACTGGTTGAAGAAATGTTTAATGGCCCAGATATCCGTAGTCCCCTGGCTACTCCCTTGCATTCAAGCAGCAAAAGATCAAGTCCGCTCATGAGTATTGGTAGTCCAGGTACTCAAATCTTTGAAGAATGTAGGGCAAAGAGGAAAAATAACGATGGACATACTTTTAGCTACCATAATTTTACCAGGTTTTCCCCAGTTTTGCAAAGGCCACAGTTGCAAAGGTTTCAGAATGCTTGTAACAAATCTGAAACAGATCCATTTATTTTGAGCCAAGGATCTTCAACTCCAAGTCAAGAATATACAGCAGAGAGGTTTTGTAAAAGGCAGATGGTTAAAATGGCCCCTTTAGAAGGCAAAAGTAGGGCAAATGGTATGCCAGCAACTGCGCCATCAAAACGAAGTCCCATCATGCAATCCTTGTATGCTAGGGGCATGATGGAGCACATGCCTACTGTGCAAATGACAGAAGGGTCTACAAGCAGTGGAACAGAGTCCAGTGACTCTGATTCAGAAATGGTTAATTCTTTCACACAGCCTCTTGTGTTTAGCAATCCCATAGTGCTAAATTCATCTCCAGGGTCCAGGAATAAGTATCCCTCTAGCAGCCTTCAGTTAAGTGGAGACGCTGAAGATGACGAAGAGGGTGCTCATGTCTTCAGTTGTTGAGATTCTTGGACAGTCTTTCTAAGAAGAGACTAAGGGATATCCAGTCAGGTCACTGTTGGAGTAGCTTTCCACAGCTTGGCATTTACAGATATATCCTGTCTCAGTAAGAGACTAACTATGAGTATGAACTTTGACTAGGAATTGTCCACGTTATATAGAGGATATCATGCTGTTATTTGATTATCAAGCAAAAAAAACTTATTGACCTTTAAAATATAGAATGATCTTAATGAGATGATAGATAAAGTATTTGAAATGGTAGTTTAAAGTGGTTTACGGTACAATATAATGGTGGCATATTTGTTATTTGTTTTGGAAAGATAAGATAATTTTGGCAGTAGATTTTTCATTAAGGAAAATGACTCTATTGCTATAAATGGTGCACTTAATGAAGTCTAAGGATAAAGAGAAAGAGATGACTTACAGAGCAGTAATGTTGGTTCTTATGTAGGAATAACTTACTACTTTTCTCATTAGGATTTATCCCTGAGTAGAAGTGTTGAAGGCTGCAGCCATTGCTGTTTTTGAAGCAGCATAATATTATATAAATATATATTTCTCTCGTACTGAGGGGAACTTACTATTCAGTGCCTCTATTTCAACTTTTATACTGCAGTCAAAATGCAAGAAATTTGATATTTGAGGAAATACTTTTTATAAGGTTTGATTATGCCTCTTTACAAGAACTAATGCAATGTTTTACCCATCAACATTATACGTATATCAGACATACTTCAAGTATTACAAAAGTTCAGGTTTTCTTTTCTAAACTACAGAAAAGAGAAAAAGCGGAAATTTTAAAAATGGAACCCTTGAGCAATTATTTGAAAAGCCTCAATATCATTTCTAGAAGTTTGTTACAAAATTAAAATTTTGTAAATGATTGAAATGATTCCACAAAGTTCTCAGCAATAAGTAAGCCAGGACTCAGATGGGAGTTAAAAATATGACAATAATTTTCACACACATATTCTCAGCTGAACCATAGCAGGGGTGTCAAACTCGTGCCTGCAGGCCAGGTGCACTGACCACGCTCACCCCTGGTTTAGCGAAGGGAAAGTTGTGATAGATCACATGACAATGTGATCCCATGAGTTTGACATACCTGAACCATATGAACCATATCTGCACAGCTTCTGTATACATGGTGTGTGTGTGTGTGTGTGTGTGTGATTGAACTTTTTCAGGAGAAAACTAATAGAATCACCATCCTATTCTAGTCAGCATAACGGTTTGTATGTTTACATATTTGTTGAGTCATAAAATATTATTATCCCAAATCACATTTAATGATTTAACAAATGCAGGAAGAGAGAGCATAAACATTCAGGAGTTCATTAAGTGAACAGCATTTTAAATGAATTCTTGCATTTAGATGAGCTTTCTTGATGTAAATAATTATGCCCAGGCAGAATGAAATGTTTATTACATGCCCTTAGCATTGTTATGAACTGTGTTTTTGTGGGTAATACTGAGGGGAAAGAATCCGAAATAAGAAATGGAATTGGCAGATTTTTGCTGCATGTAGTTGATTCTACAGTTTTCAGAATTGTTTTAAAAACAAAGGTTTAATGGCTTTCTGGGTTTATAGAACACCAACAGGAAATGTTGATAACTATTTCTGATGCCTTCAAAAAAGAAATAGTAAGAATAAATCTGTATAAATATTTGGACTGAACTCAGTATGTAGATGCCAAATGTGGTAATGATTTAACTCTTCTTAGGAAAGGCAGCCTTTTTGCACTAAATTAGCCTTCTCCAATATCCGACGATCTCCTGTTGGCCTTCATTGTATATCTGTTTCAGCCAACATAAGAAATATTGGCATCTTTTAAACAAAATTATCTCTGTAGTTAATATAGGCCGACTGGAAACTGAAATTTTCAGATTTCTATAAAAAAATCTCAAAGGATTAGCTTTTAAAAAGAATTTTACCACATGCTGTACAGCTTTGGGAATGTAGCTATGTACCAGGGGTGAAATTCAGCCGATTCTGACAGGTTCTGGAGAACCGGTAGCAGAAATAGTGAGTAGTTTGGAGACCCGGCAAATACCACCTCTGGCTGGCTCCAGAGTGGGGTGGAATGGGGATTTTGCATTATCCTTCCCCTGCCATGCCCACCAGGCCATGCCCACAGAACCGGCGGCAAAAATTTTGAATTTCACCACTGGTATATACATAGGAACATTTATTGTGCTTATACTTATTAATATGTTCTCTTTTTCTACCCCAGTAACTGCTTAATATGGGTACTGAACTTATAGGCATACAGTTCACATACTTGTTTAGGCAGTAGAAAACAAGAAAATAGATAGGCAAATCTACAAATCTGTGATTAGAAGCAAGGAGCTGAAGATTTTATTTCATGTCAAGAGAATAAAATTGGGGAATAGTTTGTCATTTTCTAAATTTTTGCTTAGAATAGATCTAAGCAAATATCACAGTAGAAGTATAAATCTAGTATCTGTATGGCAAACATTAGGAACTCTCAATAACACTAGTTACTTCAATTATTTCCCCAAGTATTTTCAAGTATATAATTTCCCTTTTAGAAAAAAAATTCCACAGTTTCTGATTACTTTAATCAGAACTGGCAAATCAGATCCATGAAATACACGTCTAATATTAATTTAATGTGACTAAGAATGTTGATAAGCATCTGCAGTTGCATTTAACAAATATTGTAAGAAAGATTAAGAAATATATGTATTTCAGCGTTCAGGCCAATTTAGTCATATAAATGCCAGCCATGCATATTTTTATGTGATAGACATTTCATATTCAGTATGCAAAACAGAATCTTGTGATGTAACAGCTCCTTTTCTGTGATTGAAATAAATACACTTGCTTCGTTATTTAGATGAATGTTCACAATAATAATAATAACAACAATAATAATAATGACGTCCTTGTGAAGAACTCATTAGGTGGATAAAAATGCCAAATCCAGTCTGAAAATATGGCTGTATGACAAACCATAATAATAGTTCACCTATATTCTTCAGTCAGATGTTATTAATTTCAGCAAATGCTGGTTTGGGATTGGGTGAGTGTGTATTAATATCAATTTATTATTTTTAATCCTTTTTTAAACTTGGGTCTTTGACACACCAGCTAGTGTTTATGTAAGCAAGTTAGAAACTAGAAAATATATGAAAAGAAGCCTGGCATTTTGTAATGATGCCATAAATATCAGATCCCATCAGATCGCATAGAGTTGGCCTCCTCCGTATTCCATCCGCCAGTCAGTGCCGACTGGCGACTACTCGGAGGAGAGCCTTCTCTGTTGCGGCTCCGACACTATGGAACAATCTCCCCATGGAGATTCGTACCCTCACCACCGTCCAGGCCTTCCGCACAGCCCTCAAGAACTGGCTAGCCCGTCAGGCCTGGGGATAATCTTATTTTCGCCCCTCCCGAATGCTGAGTGAATGTTGAGTTTTACTGTCTAATTTACTTTGTGCACATTTCTTTTTGGTATTGTCCTACACTCCCCTTCCTTTTTTGATTGTAAGCCGCCCTGAGTCCCCTCAGGGAAAAGGGCGGCCTATAAATAAATAAATAAATAAAAATATATATGTAGGACATCTTTGGCATAATACTTAATACTTGTGGAACTGAAGCATGGAACAGACATGGGTACTTGACTGTTGGAAAGAAACAGTTGTGTTCTCTCATTTAAGTTTCTTTAAATCACATTAAATGTTATTGCTAGCATTAAATTATGAACCATATCAAGAGCCACTCATTAGATTACTTACTGACTCAAAAATATAAAAATTAGAGTCTCATGGCCATTTCCATGTCTATGCTTTTCTATTCCATGTCTAGTCCTCTTTGATGGATTAAATATTGAAATTCTGTAATAAAGCAATAAACATGCCTTTTAACAGTAAGGAAAAGATTAAACAATATATTCCAGAAGAAAGGAAATCATAATGATTTTCTTGAAAAGTCATATTCCAGAAGGAGGGAAATTAATTTATGAATTCTTCCAGAATACATCATCATCT